TCACTTTCACCCCAAGTTTCAACCCCAAGGTCTCGTGGAGAGTGGACCTAATTTGTGAGCCATGTAAACTGTGGTTATTAAAAGCTGAGACCAAAGCATTAAGGTCATATATTTCTTACATTACACAAATTCACTTTATTTTTATGCATTTGCTTGTTCTGCAGCTAATGGAGAGCCTTATGATGAAGTGGGTGAGTTGGTTTCTACCGGAAGCATTTGAAGACTTTAAATATCTGAATCAAAATCTGCAAAGTGGGAAGCTCAAATGGACTGGTGGGTTGGAACTCTTTCTCCCGCAGTCCTAGGATCCAGGTTACATTCACTCCAATGGACTCTGGGCAAATCATGTCCAAATTTCTCCTCCATGGAAATGAGGTTGTTGCAAACTTCCCCCAGGCACTTGCTATCGCAGCCAATGGAATGCTCAGGATCATTGAGAAATACCATTAGCCCTTTGGAAAAAGCTACTAAAATAAGGTTTTTTTTTTTTTTTTTTTTTTTTGACCAAATTCATCATGGAAGGGTTTTCCTCCCATTGAAAACTTGAAGGAGAAAAGGACATTGGATTTACTCAGACAGAATAACCCTACAGAGCCATCAGCACTGATAATGATGCGAAAACCACAAATTCTAGCTTGTGCTTATATCCAGTGGAATGCAGGCAGCCTGTGGGACTTCAGTCCAACAACTATGGAAGGGCCATGATCTTCCTGGCAAAGTGGATGGGAAACTCTTTTCTCACCTCAGTTCTTTTCCTTCCCCTTGTCCCCTAAAAGATCCAAAGTAGCACTGGTCATTAAACTTCCCATAACTAGCAGGGATTTTGTACTAAAAAGTATATAATATAACCATGTAGCAGGTGCCAGATATACCAAGTAATTTCCATGTAATTATGTCATTTAAGTCCCGTAACTATCCTATGATGTGGAGACTTTTATCATGCCCCATTGTACAGATGAGGAAACTGAGTCATGGCGGTTAATTAAGCTGCCCAAGGTCATACACGTAATAGCAGACAGCAGAGCCAGGCCTCTTATGCAGTACTCTTTGACTTAAAAACCTAAGTATTGAACTATTATCCTCTATTGCCTACCAAATCCAGCGTGGTGAATTTAGCCAAGGCTAATTATGGGACTATTACTGGCACAAAGGTTATCTCTGAGTATCTCAGTATTTTCAAATATCACAGAAAAACTCCCCTCCCTCTTCATCACTCCCACTGTAGCTGAGATAAAAATTCAGCTCCTTCTTTCTGTGCTCTGCTTCCATTGTCAATGCTTCTTACAAGGTGGGCAGATCTCCACCCATGGCCTGCTTCCAACCCCCAAGTCATGAAATGAGGCTGCGACTTGGGAGTTGATAGAATGAGAGTCCATTTATGCCCCAGAGACTCCAGAGGAGGGCACATTGTATGCAAGAACATAGCTCAGGCAGGAAACTCGGCTCTCCCACTTAGTCATATAACTGTGGGCAGGCAACTCAACCTCAGCTTTCACATCTGTGAAATGGGAGAGAATAGCAGCATCTGGTTCACAGGGATTTTATGAGGATCAAATGCATTAATATTAGCTTGATGCTTGGTTTGTGGTCAGAACCATGTAAGATTTAATTCCTGTTATGTGTGTGTGTGTGTGTGTCTGTGTGTGTGTGTGTGTGTGTGTGTGTGTGTGTGTAACTCTCAATGTAGAGGCTGAGCCAATGACCTTAAAATTTTGGGCACAATCCAGTTACCAATTTGGATACCTGAGACAAGGATGGATTTGCTCACCACTACTGGGAGAACTGGGTGGCCTGTAGAATTGGTCTCCAGTTATGAAGTTATGTGGCCATACCCCAAATATAAAGCCTTGTCCATAAAACTGAGATTTAAATATTTATGATATCTATCACTCACTCAACAAAAATGCTTTGTGTTCTTGCTCTGGATCACATAGGTGTTAGAGACACACAGAATGAGGCTTGGCCACCATTTCCAAAGAGCACACAATCTAGATGGCAGCAAATAACCTAACCATAATACAACATGGCAGGTGCATAAATGTTTCAAGGAAAGCTTATATATTTTTCTACAGCTGGGTCAGAATACATTGAAGGCAGTCCAACAAAAGTAACATTTGAGTGGGGCTCAAAAAATGAGTTAGAATTTGTCTGTTGGAGGCCAGTTGGGAGTTGAATATGGGCATCCAAGCAGAAAGGACATTTCGAAGACATGCATGAAGCTATAAAAATGTAGGCTATGTCAGGGAACAGTCTATGTAGGACACTGGGATGAAAAGGAGAAGAGGAGGGAGGCAGGCTATGAAGGGAAACACTTGTTTCCTAAAGAGAGAAAAGTAATAAGGTTTCACTTCTTTGGTTGTAAGCAACAGAAATGGAAACTGGCCACGTAAGCGAAAGGAAACTTCAAAGGAATGATTTGAGACACCAACAAAAGAGAAGGGAAGGCTGTCTTCTTTATGCACCATCCTACAGCTTTTATTACCTTTGCTTCACTCTGCCTGTTCAAACTCCCGGGAGAGAAATTCTGATTGACTGAGCTCAGGTCACAAGGTCACCTCATGTCTGTACAAGGTGATAAAAGGAAAGATTGGGTGGGCAGAGCCTCTCAGGAGTCCTTCAAGCTTCTAAGGTAGACAATTAGCACACTAGAGGGCACCAAGATGACACCTAATCAGGAAAAGTAATCCCCCAAAAGGAAATCAGGGTGCTGATGGGAAGGACAAATATCTCATGGACAGACCCAAATTACAAATGTCCATTATAAATAATAATAATTTGTTTTTATTCACCATATGTTATATATTATTCTGGAGTACTTTGCTTTTTTAGGTAAAACACACACATTTCATGTGTTTTATTTAATCCTCATAACAATTGTAGGAGTTGGTGTCCTCCCACTTCAGCTTCATAGGATTGGAGTAGGAACATTCCATTTTTACAATTGAAAAATGTTATAGTTCAGAGAGGTTAGGTTACTTACCCAAAGTCACACAGCTAGTGAGTGGGCCATTCAGAACTCAAACCAAGATGCCTCTGAGTTGATGGCAAAGCTCTCAGCCACGCACGTTGTACCTCCTAGTTATCAAGTGAAGTGAAAGCATCTGCAGGTTGGCACTGGCTTCCCACTGTCCCATCCCAGCCTTTCCGCCTGCCTTCCACCTTGGAATAGACTCAGTCAACTTGATGGATCCAAAGATCTGGAAAGGAAGGGACGGCACCTTTCTTAGTTGTCCTCTCTGTAGGTTGTACAAAGCAGCTGAAGAGCATCCTTGCCATTCTGGCCAAAGCCTCGTCTCTCAAGCTCTTTGTGGGCAACACATAAAAGACCCTCAAATCAATGCATTCCAAAGCAATGCATAGCATCGCTTCCTTTTGAGCCCCCAGAATGGAGAGTTACACATCCGTAGGGCTCTGGATCATGTTGTTTTAATTAATGACTGAGCAGAAGCTTCTGCAATCCCTGTGGGAAGATCTGCCCTCACTTAAAAAAGAATATCCGCAAGAATGAAACTTACCTCCGGAGGTGTTAACAGCACCCAAAGTACTGTCCCTGCCATTGGTAACAGCACCCAAAGTACTGTCCATAAAACTGTGGACAGTTCATCCAGTGGTAACAGCACCCAAAGTACTGTCCCTGCCATTTTCAAATCTAGAACCACACATTTAATACAAGTAGGGAAAATTATTCATGTATGTCATCCAGTCACTCAGTCAGCCAGAGAGTTATTCCTTTCTATTATCTAGGGGGCCCTGTGCGAAATGCTTAGAAGTGTTGTTTTACTCACTCACACAGTGCAAGGTGGGGGTGGGATCAGCATTTATAGACAAGAAAGTGGAATCTCAGAGAGGTTAAGAGGCTTGCTTAAGGTCACACAGCAAGTAAGGGCTCTTTCCATGATGCTATGCAATGTTCTAAGTGTCACAAGCACTCAGCAAATGTTTGCTGACCAGATGGCTCCATCAGGCTTTCTACTTCAGTTCTCCATAATTTTGTCAGATCTGCCCTCCCAGATATCTTAGCTTTGTCCTTAGGCCAACTTCCCTAACGGCAATTGGGACAATACACTTAGAGGGAAAGTTTTTCCCTTCTAATTGTTTTTCCTTTTGGTATGATGAGGTCAATTTAGGTTGCATGACCATCCTTGGACCACTTACCATCACCAAGGGAATGTAGAATAATAATTGGCTGAACTCAGGATGCCCAAACCAATCACAGACAATGGTGTGTGCAGGATTCCCATGATTGGTTTAGCCCAGTATAGGTCAGCTTCCCCTAACTCATATAGCTTATGAAGAGGAGGGGTGGATCCCTGAGTAAAAATGAAGTTTTGCCAGGAGGAAAGATACTGTCAAGCACTGCAGTGGTCATGTGGGTATGTACATGCAACTGTCCTTTCATCCTATCTAATAAAGAGGGAATATGCTAATTGACCCTCATGCTGTCACAGATGGTGGCACCCACAGCCACAAGATGGCAGCACCCAATCCCCTCAGCCCTGCTTGGGTGGGAGCCATGCAGCCACTTCATGCCTGCCTCTGGAGTTCCCGAGTTCCCTTAGCCCCCCAGCTGCCCAGGGCTGGCCTGAGGTTCAGGCAAGCCTCAGATGGCACCTGCCCAGCCACCCAGGGCCGCCCAAGGCTCAGGTAACCAGGGCTGGCTGAGGCTTGTACTGCCAGCAGTGGCAGCAGCAGATGTGTGATGGGGTGGCACCTTCCCCTGATCACTGGGTCACCTCCTGCCGTTGAGGGCTCCTGGACTGTGAGAAGGTGCAGGCCAGGCTAAGGGGCCCCTCCTGTGCATGAATTTTCACGCACCAGCCTCTAATAAGACTAAAAAACTTCCTGAGGACAATAGCCATGATTCATTTATCTCAATATCCACTGTCTAGCACAACACCTAAAAAAATCTTGGGGGGGAATGAGATGAGTTATAATTGTTAAAATATTGCCAGAGCTGAGGTTTATTCAAAACAAATTAAAGGTTCAGGTTTGCATGAGGTAAAGGGGAAAGGCATTCTATCTACTTGCTGGATCTCTGTTTGGTATATAAATTAGATGTTTTAAAAAGACAGCTTCTGTCTGCCAGGCTTTAGAAATAGTGATCTAAGAGTCAGACATTTCCTATTAAAGTTTTAAAAACATAGCTTTAAGTCATACATTATGTTGAACGCTTTCATATCTCATCTGATTCAGTAGGTTTTAAACCTCACAGAGGTCACATTTTGAAACAGTAGTCACTCTTTACAACATCTCCAAACATTAAATAAAAATAAAAGTGATTATGAAGAATAGAGATGTCCACAGAGAACACCAAGCATGACACTTGAATATGATTATTATTAAGGACAGTATTATTTGGATTCTGAAGGTTACAGTGGCTGGCTCATCTCTAAGCTTCATTTTTTTTTTTTCTTTACTGAATTGAAGAATGAAGGGCAGATTCTATCAGTGTTCACCTTTTTTTTTTTTTTTTTTTTTTTTTAGAAGCACCCTATTTTAGAATTCAGGTTCCTAACCTGCGCCAACCTCAGGGATGCTACGAATACCTAAAATAAATGCAAAATGTGTGAACATTTTTCTCCACAGAGGGATCACAGTTTTTGTTATATTCTCAAAAGGGTTCTTGATTTGCAAAAAGGTATTGGAGAGAAATTCCCTTATCACAGTGGTTGTCCCAACAACGGGGTTTCACATAAAGAAGGAAAGCTATTCCCAGGGTCAGACTGTTAACTTAGATTGATCACTTCCAGTAAATAGGTCATTCTTGGGTTTCTCTTAGGATGTTTTAACTCAGAGTTATAGTTAGTAGATGCTTGAAATGAATGGGGCTCTGTAAGGAGAAATCAACGAAGCAATTCCACTGCTCCCACATCCGCCCATGCCCACCTCTGAGCCTTCAATCATCTCCTAAAGGGCCTATTCCGATGCTCGGACCCGCCATCGCCAGCTCCCACATTTACTGGGGACCATTTGGAATTCACCCAGCCAGGTAGGGACAGTCCCTCAACTGACATTTGTAAACAGAAGTAAAGCTAGTGGTTTATTGTTTGAAACCTTGCAATTTTGATGTGTGCTCCCCCTCTGCCATAATAGGTAGAATAGCAAAAGGAATTAAAATCAGAAGGAAGTGTGGTGTGTGTGTGTGTGTGTGTGTGTGTGTGTGTGTGTGTTTGTGCGCGTGCACTCAGGGATGGCTCCGAAAGGAGTTCATTTCCCCCATGAAGCAACCTTGTCAAAGGAGGATTTGTATTGTTAGTTCTCTGCTTTTTCTTTGTTTCCCTTGTTGCAGTTGCATTTTACTGTTCAGAACTTAAAGGATGCATTCAAACTTATGGAGCATGACATTTTAACTATCTCATCTCACCATGATTCATCTCCATTTACTTTCCTCCAAACTGTCGTCTTGAGAAAGCACACCATCTCCGGGTTCTCCAGCAGATAGAAGACCATAAACAACATTAAATGAGCTAACGTGTGAGCAAAGCCCACTCATTAGATCCTCCTAATGAGATGTTTGACTTTAGGATGGGAACGTGGGGGACATCCGCAACGGCCTCTGCAGTGTATCGCTGCAAGTTCAACTTGAATCAGCGGAGGTCACAGAATAAGAGGATTCAGAAAATCCCACAGGAACAGGGCGGATCCTAATACTCTATATTTGAGGCTTCTGTGTCTGCAGATCCTTGCTTGGCCCCCAGAAGATGCATTACCTGCAAAACGTATCAATCCCAGGACCCGATATACGGCTGCCAGGACATATTTTACTGTCTTTCGTTGACTTTCATTTTAGAGTTCAACCTCAACTGAACTCCAGTGGTAAAAAAAAAAATTAAAAAAAAATCAACCCTGTATTCATTCACTCTAGGAGCCTCTGCTGCTGAGTAGAATGAATCGATAATGAAGTCGTGAGCAAATATTATTAATGCCTTTTATTATTTATATCGATGTTAATGTGTCCAATTGACACACAACTATCTACCTCTCTAGTCTAATGCTGGTGACTCCTGGCATCCCCTTCTCTTTCCCTTTCTCTCTCCATTCAGTCACAGTTACAGTGAGAAAATAATTTATCACAAGCCATGACCCCTTGGCCCTTATGAATTATCTGTTTAGAAAAATGTGAAGCCACCTTTTATATCCACCATAATAGATACTTAGACATAGTGGATCAATAGGGAACAAGTTGGCTGGTTATAGTTCACGGGTACCAAAGGGACACTCTGACAGTGACCTCTGACATTGTGTCTGACAAGAAATCTTTAGAGCAAAAAATAAGGAAGACAGACAGGTTATGAATGTAGATCCCTAGCAAATCATGATAATTTTCCCTGGATAATTTAGACTCGTGGATAGTCACTCATTTCTGCATTGACCCCTGAACTAGAAATGGCAGTCCATTGCTACTCTATTTTAGAAACAGTTATGGCGCCGGGCCTGGCTCAAGCCCATTTGTTATCCAAGGAGAACCCACTGATAATGTTTTCCTGACAAAGAGGACTTTTCTCTTTATGAAATAGGCTGTCATTTGTAATTTTAAGCAGGCATGGATTTGTTAAACAGCCACATGGTAATGGGTTTCTATAAGAAGATCCACAGACCCATAGTTCTGGAAAGAAATTGAGCTTATGAGATATTTAAAAACCTAATGGGAATGGAATATTTTGGGTTTCTTGAGAAGATGGTTTCTGCTCTGCACATTGCCAAGGGAATTTGACAATAAACCCATTGTTGTGTGTCTGAGAGTCTGTTTGAGGCAATTATATTTTCATACATTCTGTGGAGTTGATCTTAGGGAAACCCACCAGGGCACCAAGCCCACCTCTTCTTGGCGCTGTGGGGGACTCCCAGGGATGAACATCAGTGGTGGCAAGCAGGTTTAGAAAAAGAGGCAAGGAAACAGAGCTAATCTGAGAGTGGTCCTGAAGAGAGCAGACTGCAGCATTCTGCCTGGCAGAGAAATTAATGTACACGCAGAAAATCCAAAAGAAGTGTGTGTGTGTGTGTGTGTGTGTGTGTGTGTGTGTGTAGCCTATATGTGCAAAGTCCTTTTCACTCCACTCCACTTGTACATACCGTATTATGATGTCACACTCCAGTAGCATTACTCCGAAGTCTCAATGGTCTCCCTGCTGCTAAGCACCATCGAAAACACATTTGTCCTGACTACTCTTTTCTCCCTATCCCCCTCTCATCTGTGTAAGATGAATCACTCCTGGATCCAGACTGACTCTGAGGGCAGAGCTGGATCCTGACGAGGTAGCCAGCCTCCTATGGCTTACCCGTTTTAATTAATTTCAACACTGGTGCACAAATGAGCGTTAATCACCCTGCCGCAGTGCTTTCTAATTTACGAAGTTTGTTCATTAAAACTTTCCTGACTGAACTTTGATTGAATGTCATGCTTTTTTGGAGGCCTTTCAAACTGCCTTCGGGGTTTTGAAGTGATACTTGGGTCGCCGCTGAAAGCCTCCAGTGTTTGCTTAAACAGGGAAAATCTGAGCAGCAAGAAACCTTCTCTGTGCCGAACAAAGGGCCCTTTGGAGCGGCAGGAGGCTTGTAAAAGCAGGTTTGTTTTGAAGCAATATAAAAAAGAAAGGGAAACTTAAGTGTCTAATAAAAGAAATAAAATCAGTCACCTTAATACTTGACAAAACTTGGAAATACATTACATGGTCAGCTGCAGCCATCTTTTAAGAAAAGCAACACAATGATAGCAGCGCTTTGCAGTCACGCGAGGAGAGGCATTTATAACGGGTGTGCCAACCCAATTATTTTGGAATCAATGTAATACAAACGTTAGTTACCCACTAATTGCTCGTATCTGCGTTTTCCCCCCTGAAATATTGTTTCAATGAAGACTTTGATTTAAAATTAAGTCAAGAAAAACCCAATCTTTGCCTCTGTAATGAACAGTATCTGATATTAGGGGACAATACACCCCATCCTGTCAGCTACATGAAGGCAGCTCTGGGGCCCACACTCGAAATGCAGGCAATTGCTTTTTCAGTGAGTGCCTTTAGAACACGCTTCTTCCCTTTTTCTACTTTCCCACTCCCCAACCCTCCCCTCCCCAGACAGAAAAATACTTTTAAAGTTTAATAAACATTTCAATAATTTGGGAGGAAAAATTCAAGTCAGAGTTATTAATGAGAGTACCACTTCTAATAGGCCATGAATCAAAAGACAAGTTTTCATATTCATTCCCACGTTCTATAAATACTGCTCAGTGTTATGCAACAAGATGTGACAAACTCATTTTTAAAAGGTATTTTTAACTCCAGGGAGCGAGAAAGGTTACTCCGATTCATTCCTCCTTGGAAAATGAAGCTTCATTGGGAACAGCGCCCCTTCTCACTGGCAGAGGGCAGGTCTCCTCACTACTGGTTGGCTCACGAAATATTCCGACTTTCCGGACTCTTGCAAGATCTCCTTAGTAGCATCTTCTCCACAGATGTCTAACCTTGGAGTGTACCAAAACACGACTGAGAAAGGGGTAGGTCTGTACAAGACAGCATGATAGCAAGGTATCTGAACTCTGAGGTCAGGCCACCTGGCTCAGAGTCTTGATTTTGCTATTTATTAGCTGTGTGACCTTGGATAAGTCATGTAACCTCTTTATTAGCTGTGTGAGCTTAGATACGTCAAAGTTGGGGTTTTCTCAACTATGGAATTAATTTGATCACAGTAGCTATCTCCCAGAATTTGTGTAAAAATTAATAGCCAATGCTTATGTAGCATTTGCTATAAATAGCAAGTGACAATTAGAAATGCCCACTGTCATTTGCCCCTCCCCCAACCTCAAGAATCAGTATTATCATTACTCCTAATTTACAGAGGAGGAAACAGAGTCACAGAGAAGTCAAGTCACTTTCCCAAAGCCACATAACTATAAAAGGTTACAAAACTAGTGTTTCAGTGGTAACAGCAGTGGTCTGGCTCCTGGGTCTGGGCACTTCACTCCTTTACTATGTTTAAAAGATAAAACATATGCAGAGGACCTATCATGCCCAGCCCAGGGAAGTGATGAATGAGAGTCAGCAATTGTTAGCTCTTATTATTATAAGTGTTCAATAAACACATGTTCGTCAGTTGACTAACGGAATTTTTGTTAGGGATTCTTGAAGCCCCAGAGTAATGAGCTGCTAATGAACTACTGACACGAGGCATGCCTTTCAGTCTCCATTCATTTCAGCGGCAGGGAAGCATCTGGATGCACATGATTGCAGTAGCTGTGTTACTCCTATTTTGAGGATAAAATGCAGATAAAGCCCCCAAGTAAGTTCTTTTAATCTACAAACAAATGAGATTAAAGTTGGGAAATCTAGATGGTTGGTGGCCTTGTCAGTGGTTCCTGAGCTTCGAGATACATTAGAATCATTTGTGGAGCTTTAACAGATACAGAGAATTGGACCTCACGTCAGATTTATTGAATCAGAATGTATGGGGATAAAATTTAGGCAGATGTATCTTTTAAAAAGATCTCACTAAAATATAGCATTACACAGCAAGGTGTACCACTCAAATACCCAGCTTGATGGCTTTTCACAGAGTGAACGTAGTCATGCCTTCAGCAGCCTGAAACTCAAAAGCTCCCTCGTGCCCCTTTCTAGTCCCTAACTTTCCAAGGGGTAGCCAGTGTTCTGACTTCTAACGCAAAGATGAACAGTTCTTGATTTTTACTATAAAACCAAATGGACCAGGCAGCATGTGTTCTTTGCCATCTGGCTTATTTTGCTCTACATTGTTTTTATGAGCTCATACATGATGTTGTTTGTAGCATGAATTCATTCCTTTTCAGTGCTGTATAATAGTCCAAGACTATACCACAATTTATTTATTCACTTGGCTACTTTTGGTCATTTGGGTAATCCCTGGTGCTGTTATTATAAACAAACTAGAGGCCCAGTGCACAAAATTCATGCACAAGGGGAGTGGGGGTCTCTTCAGCTGAGCTTGTACCCTCTCCAATCCGGGACCCCTCTGGGGATGTCTGACTGGATCGGGCCTACATCGGCAGTCAGACATCCCTCTCAAAATCCAGGATCACTGGCTCTTAACTGCTCATCTACCTGCCTGCCTGGTTGCTCCCAACTGCTCCGCAAAATAGGCCAAGTTGCCCCCAACTGCCCCCCCTGCTGGCCTGGTCACCAATGCAGCCTGCTGTTCAGTGGTTTGGTCATCTCTCACTAACCCACTTGCTGGCCTTGTCACCCCACACAGCCAGTGTTTACTTGTCTGTCCAGTTGTTTCGGTCGTGACGACCCCTGCCTTTTTATATATTAGGGTAGTGTTGTCATAAAACTCGTGTATGTCTTTTGAGGGATTTTTGCATTTCTGATGGATATTTGCCTAGGAGAGGTGTTGATGAGCTTAGGGTATACCAAAGTTCAACTTTAGTAAGTGAGAACTACTGATCTCAGCTGTGAGACCTGTAACTAACCTAACTGTTGTTTGTGGTATTAGAGTATAAATATCTTTTTTTTTTTTTTTTTAAGTCTAATGAAAATGGAATATTTGGAATTTATTAAAAACTAGCCTCTGTCTAACATTGGTTACATTGGCATTGGTTAGGATTAGTGTTGAGGCTTAGAACCAAAGCAACAGAAACAGTACATATTTTAGTAAGTATTTCCAGTACCAAGTGTCTTCACAGCATTTTATAAAATACTAGAGGCCCAGTGCATGGAATTCATACTCAGGTGCGGTCCCTAGGCCTTGCCTGTGATTGAAGCATGAGTGTCTGGCATGGAAGGGCAGGTCCCAGCTGACCTCTGGGCCCCTAGGCTCCTGTGTGCCCCCCTCTGCCTGAGTCACAGAGCCTGGTGCCTGAGTCCCCATGCAGAGATGTGGTGAGCATGGCCTGATACTGTACACCGGGGCACAGCATGGGCCTCTGGGCTGCCTAATAGTGCTGCACAGAAGCCTACTGCAGCACTCTCTCCTGGCCGGCTTCGCAGACTGGCTCCTGTGCAAACCCACGGGGAGGCCGACTGGCCCCTGTGGTCCCAGTGGCTGTGACCCAGTTCACCTGGAAGAGGCTGCATGAGTATAGGGCAGGCCCCTTGTGGGCACCTGGCACCTGAACATGGGGGATTCCCTGACACACGAGCTATCCAGGGGAGGATAGCAGGAGGAATGAGAGCAAGCTCAGCAGACCCCTGCATTCCCATACAACCTCTGTCCCTGTCACTACTGTCCCCAGGTAGTTGACTAGAGGTTGTAGCCTCTCGCCCAGGCTCTGTGGGAGGTTGGTTGCCATCACCCATCCCCAATTCCTATCTTAGCCCAGGTCTTGGTCCCAATTGGGCGCAATCAGGATCTGCTGGTCACTGTCTACGGGGTGATTGATCAAGTTCCCTCAGTGTCTGGGAACCTGGTGGCGGCCCCGCTCCTCCCCACTATCGCTGGTCACCAGGGTGTTTGGGCCCCTGGTTATACCTGCCTTGGCCTGGCATCGCCCACTCACCTGCTCCACCATCCTGTTGCAGCCCGCTCTAGTC